GGAGGATATACAGGCTCAGGGCACGTGGAGGATATACAGGCTCAGGGCACGTGGAGGATATACAGGCTCAGGGCACGTGGAGGATATACAGGCTCAGGGCACGTGGAGGATATACAGGCTCAGGGCACGTGGAGGATATACAGGCTCAGGGCACGTGGAGGATATACAGGCTCAGGGCACGTGGAGGATATACAGGCTCAGGGCACGTGGAGGATATACAGGCTCAGGGCACGTGGAGGATATACAGGCTCAGGGCACGTGGAGGATATACAGGCTCAGGGCACGTGGAGGATATACAGGCTCAGGGCACGTGGAGGATATACAGGCTCAGGGCACGTGGAGGATATACAGGCTCAGGGCACGTGGAGGATATAGGCTCAGGGCACGTGGAGGATATACAGGCTCAGGGCACGTGGAGGATATACAGGCTCAGGGCACGTGGAGGATATACAGGCTCAGGGCACGTGGAGGATATACAGGCTCAGGGCACGTGGAGGATATACAGGCTCAGGGCACGTGGAGGATATACAGGCTCAGGGCACGTGGAGGATATACAGGCTCAGGGCACGTGGAGGATATAGGCTCAGGGCACAGGCTCAGGGCACGTGGAGGATATACAGGCTCAGGGCACGTGGAGGATATACAGGCTCAGGGCACGTGGAGGATATACAGGCTCAGGGCACGTGGAGGATATACAGGCTCAGGGCACGTGGAGGATATACAGGCTCAGGGCACGTGGAGGATACAGGCTCAGGGCACGTGGAGGGCTCAGGGCACGTGGAGGATATACAGGCTCAGGGCACGTGGAGGATATACAGGCTCAGGGCACGTGGAGGATATACAGGCTCAGGGCACGTGGAGGATATACAGGCTCAGGGCACGTGGAGGATATACAGGCTCAGGGCACGTGGAGGATATACAGGCTCAGGGCACGTGGAGGATATACAGGCTCAGGGCACGTGGAGGATATACAGGCTCAGGGCACGTGGAGGATATACAGGCTCAGGGCACGTGGAGGATATACAGGCTCAGGGCACGTGGAGGATATACAGGCTCAGGGCACGTGGAGGATATACAGGCTCAGGGCACGTGGAGGATATACAGGCTCAGGGCACGTGGAGGATATACAGGCTCAGGGCACGTGGAGGATATACAGGCTCAGGGCACGTGGAGGATATACAGGCTCAGGGCACGTGGAGGATATACGTGGAGGCTCAGGGCACGTGGAGGATATACAGGCTCAGGGCACGTGGAGGATATACAGGCTCAGGGCACGTGGAGGATATAGGCTCAGGGCACGTGGAGGGCTCAGGGCACGTGGAGGATATACAGGCTCAGGGCACGTGGAGGATATACAGGCTCAGGGCACGTGGAGGATATACAGGCTCAGGGCACGTGGAGGATATACAGGCTCAGGGCACGTGGAGGATATACAGGCTCAGGGCACGTGGAGGATATACAGGCTCAGGGCACGTGGAGGATATATGGAGGATATACAGGCTCAGGGCACGTGGAGGATATACAGGCTCAGGGCACGTGGAGGATATACAGGCTCAGGGCACGTGGAGGATATACAGGCTCAGGGCACGTGGAGGATATACAGGCTCAGGGCACGTGGAGGATATACAGGCTCAGGGCACGTGGAGGATATACACGCTCAGGGCACGTGGAGGATATACAGGCTCAGGGCACGTGGAGGATATACAGGCTCAGGGCACGTGGAGGATATACAGGCTCAGGGCACGTGGAGGATATACAGGCTCAGGGCACGTGGAGGTGGAGGCATATACAGGCTCAGGGCACGTGGAGGATATACAGGCTCAGGGCACGTGGAGGATATACAGGCTCAGGGCACGTGGAGGGCTCAGGGCACGTGGAGGATATACAGGCTCAGGGCACGTGGAGGATATACAGGCTCAGGGCACGTGGAGGATATACAGGCTCAGGGCACGTGGAGGATATACAGGCTCAGGGCACGTGGAGGATATACAGGCTCAGGGCACGTGGAGGATATACAGGCTCAGGGCACGTGGAGGATATACAGGCTCAGGGCACGTGGAGGATATACAGGCTCAGGGCACGTGGAGGATATACAGGCTCAGGGCACGTGGAGGATATACAGGCTCAGGGCACGTGGAGGATATACAGGCTCAGGGCACGTGGAGGATATACAGGCTCAGGGCACGTGGAGGATATACAGGCTCAGGGCACGTGGAGGATATACAGGCTCAGGGCACGTGGAGGATATACAGGCTCAGGGCACGTGGAGGATATACAGGCTCAGGGCACGTGGAGGATATACAGGCTCAGGGCACGTGGAGGATATACAGGCTCAGGGCACGTGGAGGATATACAGGCTCAGGGCACGTGGAGGATATACAGGCTCAGGGCACGTGGAGGATATACAGGCTCAGGGCACGTGGAGGATATACAGGCTCAGGGCACGTGGAGGATATACAGGCTCAGGGCACGTGGAGGATATACAGGCTCAGGGCACGTGGAGGATATACAGGCTCAGGGCACGTGGAGGATATACAGGCTCAGGGCACGTGGAGGATATACAGGCTCAGGGCACGTGGAGGATATACAGGCTCAGGGCACGTGGAGGATATACAGGCTCAGGGCACGTGGAGGATATACAGGCTCAGGGCACGTGGAGGATATACAGGCTCAGGGCACGTGGAGGGCTCAGGGCACGTGGAGGATATACAGGCTCAGGGCACGTGGAGGATATACAGGCTCAGGGCACGTGGAGGGCTCAGGGCACGTGGAGGATATACAGGCTCAGGGCACGTGGAGGATATACAGGCTCAGGGCACGTGGAGGATATACAGGCTCAGGGCACGTGGAGGATATACAGGCTCAGGGCACGTGGAGGATATACAGGCTCAGGGCACGTGGAGGATATACAGGCTCAGGGCACGTGGAGGATATACAGGCTCAGGGCACGTGGAGGATATACAGGCTCAGGGCACGTGGAGGATATACAGGCTCAGGGCACGTGGAGGATATACAGGCTCAGGGCACGTGGAGGATATACAGGCTCAGGGCACGTGGAGGATATACAGGCTCAGGGCACGTGGAGGATATACAGGCTCAGGGCACGTGGAGGATATACAGGCTCAGGGCACGTGGAGGATATACAGGCTCAGGGCACGTGGAGGATATACAGGCTCAGGGCACGTGGAGGGGCACGTGGAGGATATACAGGCTCAGGGCACGTGGAGGATATACAGGCTCAGGGCACGTGGAGGATATACAGGCTCAGGGCACGTGGAGGATATACAGGCTCAGGGCACGTGGAGGATATACAGGCTCAGGGCACGTGGAGGATATACAGGCTCAGGGCACGTGGAGGATATACAGGCTCAGGGCACGTGGAGGATATACAGGCTCAGGGCACGTGGAGGATATACAGGCTCAGGGCACGTGGAGGATATACAGGCTACAGGCTCAGGGCACGTGGAGGATATACAGGCTCAGGGCACGTGGAGGATATACAGGCTCAGGGCACGTGGAGGATATACAGGCTCAGGGCACGTGGAGGATATACAGGCTCAGGGCACGTGGAGGATATACAGGCTCAGGGCACGTGGAGGATATACAGGCTCAGGGCACGTGGAGGATATACAGGCTCAGGGCACGTGGAGGATATACAGGCTCAGGGCACGTGGAGGATATACACGTGGAGGGCTCAGGGCACGTGGAGGATATACAGGCTCAGGGCACGTGGAGGATATACAGGCTCAGGGCACGTGGAGGATATACAGGCTCAGGGCACGTGGAGGATATACAGGCTCAGGGCACGTGGAGGATATACAGGCTCAGGGCACGTGGAGGATATACAGGCTCAGGGCACGTGGAGGATATACAGGCTCAGGGCACGTGGAGGATATACAGGCTCAGGGCACGTGGAGGATATACAGGCTCAGGGCACGTGGAGGATATACAGGCTCAGGGCACGTGGAGGATATACAGGCTCAGGGCACGTGGAGGATATACAGGCTCAGGGCACGTGGAGGATATACAGGCTCAGGGCACGTGGAGGATATACAGGCTCAGGGCACGTGGAGGATATACAGGCTCAGGGCACGTGGAGGATATACAGGCTCAGGGCACGTGGAGGATATACAGGCTCAGGGCACGTGGAGGATATATACAGGCTCAGGGCACGTGGAGGATATACAGGCTCAGGGCACGTGGAGGATATACAGGCTCAGGGCACGTGGAGGATATACAGGCTCAGGGCACGTGGAGGATATACAGGCTCAGGGCACGTGGAGGATATACAGGCTCAGGGCACGTGGAGGATATACAGGCTCAGGGCACGTGGAGGATATACAGGCTCAGGGCACGTGGAGGATATACAGGCTCAGGGCACGTGGAGGATATACAGGCTCAGGGCACGTGGAGGATATACAGGCTCAGGGCACGTGGAGGATATACAGGCTCAGGGCACGTGGAGGATATGGCTCAGGGCACGTATACAGGCTCAGGGCACGTGGAGGATATACAGGCTCAGGGCACGTGGAGGATATACAGGCTCAGGGCACGTGGAGGCTCAGGGCACGTGGAGGATATACAGGCTCAGGGCACGTGGAGGATATACAGGCTCAGGGCACGTGGAGGATATACAGGCTCAGGGCACGTGGAGGATATACAGGCTCAGGGCACGTGGAGGATATACAGGCTCAGGGCACGTGGAGGATATACAGGCTCAGGGCACGTGGAGGATATACAGGCTCAGGGCACGTGGAGGATATTTTTTATAGGTGGCCTCCTACATAAGGCAAATGCAGCACAACTTGGTTATTGTGTGTAATGTAGGGCCCGTCTACCCACTCCTCAGACTCTCTAACACTACAGGAGGAGGATGTTGCCCTCTTGTGTCAGGTTAGGTCAGTTTGGTTGTATCTGGACCTCAGCTTATTTTGTGGCCCACCTTGACTAGGCCAACGGGCGGGGGCCCGCCCTAACTAGATGGTCTCTCAAGGATTTACCTCTGCCATGCGATCATGGGCAGATCCTTAGGAGATTCTGGCCAGGAGAGTTGTGTTCCCCGGAGGTCTCTCTCGAACACGACCAGACTACCGACATCTTCTCCTTGAGTTGTTTCACTAGACCTGGAAAACACAGCGTGGAAAGAATCCATCTCTTGTCCTCAGTCCTCTGCCTCGGTGGTTCAAGGAGTTGGGTCCTTGTCTTCCCCCGCAGTTTTACCTGGGCGGTGTGAGGTGCGGGCGGTGTGCGGTGTGGGCGGTGTGCGGTGTGGGCGGTGTGAGGTGCGGGCGGTGTGCGGTGCGGGCGGTGTGAGGTGCGGGCGGTGTGAGGTGCGGGCGGTGTGCGGTGCGGGCGGTGTGCGGTGCGGGCGGTGTGAGGTGCGGGCGGTGTGCGGTGCGGGCGGTGTGCGGTGCGGGCGGTGTGAGGTGCGGGCGGTGTGAGGTGCGGGCGGTGTGAGGTGCGGGCGGTGTGAGGTGCGGGCGGTGTGAGGTGCGGGCGGTGTGAGGTGCGGGCGGTGTGCGGTGCGGGCGGTGTGGGCGGTGTGCGGTGCGGGCGGTGTGAGGTGCGGGCGGTGTGCGGTGCGGGCGGTGTGTGCGGGCGGTGTGAGGTGCGGGCGGTGTGAGGTGCGGGCGTGTGAGGTGCGGGCGGTGTGAGGTGCGGGCGGTGTGAGGTGCGGGCGGTGTGAGGTGCGGGCGGTGTGCGGTGCGGGCGTGTGTGAGGTGCGGGCGGTGTGAGGTGCGGGCGGTGTGAGGTGCGGGCGGTGTGAGGTGCGGGCGGTGTGAGGTGCGGGCGGTGTGAGGTGCGGGCGGTGTGAGGTGCGGGCGGTGTGAGGTGCGGGCGGTGTGCGGTGCGGGCGGTGTGAGGTGCGGGCGGTGTGCGGTGGTGCGGGCGGTGTGAGGTGCGGGCGGTGTGAGGTGCGGGCGGTGTGAGGTGCGGGCGGTGTGAGGTGCGGGCGGTGTGAGGTGCGGGCGGTGTGAGGTGCGGGCGGTGTGAGGTGCGGGCGGTGTGCGGTGCGGGCGGTGTGAGGTGCGGGCGGTGTGAGGTGCGGGCGGTGTGCGGTGGTGCGGGCGGTGTGAGGTGCGGGCGGTGTGAGGTGCGGGCGGTGTGAGGTGCGGGCGGTGTGAGGTGCGGGCGGTGTGAGGTGCGGGCGGTGTGAGGTGCGGGCGGTGTGAGGTGTGAGGTGCGGGCGGTGTGAGGTGCGGGCGGTGTGAGGTGCGGGCGGGCGGTGTGCGGTGCGGGCGGGTGTGTGGTGCGGGCGGTGTGAGGTGCGGGCGGTGTGAGGTGCGGGCGGTGTGCGGTGCGGTGTGAGGTGCGGGCGGTGTGAGGTGCGGGCGGTGTGCGGTGTGAGGTGCGGGCGGTGTGAGGTGCGGGCGGTGTGAGGTGCGGGCGGTGTGAGGTGCGGGCGGTGTGAGGGCGGGGTGTGAGGTGCGGGCGGTGTGAGGTGCGGGCGGTGTGGTGTGAGGTGCGGGCGGTGTGAGGTGTGAGGTGCGGGGTGTGAGGTGCGGGCGGTGAGGTGCGGGCGGTGTGAGGTGCGGGCGTGTGAGGTGAGGTGCGGGCGGTGTGAGGTGCGGGCGGTGTGAGGTGCGGGCGGTGTGAGGTGCGGGTGCGGTGTGAGGTGCGGGCGGTGTGCGGGAGGTGCGGGCGGTGTGAGGTGCGGGCGGTGTGAGGTGCGGGCGGTGTGCGGTGCGGGCGGTGTGCGGTGTGACGGTGCGGGCGGTGTGAGGTGCGGGCGGTGTGAGGTGCGGGCGGTGTGCGGTGCGGGCGGTGTGAGGTGCGGGCGGTGTGAGGTGCGGGCGGTGTGAGGTGCGGGCGGTGTGAGGTGCGGGCGGTGTGAGGTGCGGGCGGTGTGAGGTGCGGGCGGTGTGAGGTGCGGGCGGTGTGAGGTGCGGGCGGTGTGAGGTGCGGGCGGTGTGAGGTGCGGGCGGTGTGAGGTGCGGGCGGTGTGAGGTGCGGGCGGTGTGAGGTGGGCGGTGTGAGGTGCGGGCGGTGTGAGGTGCGGGCGGTGTGAGGTGCGGGCGGTGTGAGGTGCGGGCGGTGGGCGGTGTGAGGTGCGGGCGGTGTGAGGTGCGGGCGGTGTGAGGTGCGGGCGGTGTGAGGTGCGGGCGGTGTGAGGTGCGGGCGGTGTGAGGTGCGGGCGGTGTGAGGTGCGGGCGGTGTGAGGTGCGGGCGGTGTGAGGTGCGGGCGGTGTGCGGTGCGGGCGGTGTGAGGTGCGGGCGGTGTGCGGTGCGGGCGGTGTGCGGGTGCGGGCGGTGTGAGGTGCGGGCGGTGTGAGGTGCGGGCGGTGTGAGGTGCGGGCGGTGTGCGGTGCGGGCGGTGTGAGGTGCGGGCGGTGTGAGGTGCGGGCGGTGTGCGGTGCGGGCGGTGTGCGGTGCGGGCGGTGTGAGGTGCGGGCGGTGTGAGGTGCGGGCGGTGTGAGGTGCGGGCGGTGTGAGGTGCGGGCGGTGTGCGGTGCGGGCGGTGTGAGGTGCGGGCGGTGTGCGTGTGCGGGCGGTGTGAGGTGCGGGCGGTGTGAGGTGCGGGCGGTGTGCGGTGCGGGCGGTGTGAGGTGCGGGCGGTGTGCGGTGCGGGCGGTGTGAGGTGCGAGCGGTGTGCGGTGCGGGCGGTGTGAGGTGCGGGCGGTGTGAGGTGCGGGCGGTGTGCGGTGCGGGCGGTGTGAGGTGCGGGCGGTGTGCGGTGCGGGCGGTGTGCGTGCGGGCGGTGCGGTGGGCGGTGTGAGGTGCGGGCGGTGTGCGGTGCGGGCGGTGTGAGGTGCGGGCGGTGTGAGGTGCGGGCGGTGTGCGGTGCGGGCGGTGTGAGGTGCGGGCGGTGTGAGGTGCGGGCGGTGTGCGGTGCGGGCGGTGTGAGGTGCGGGCGGTGTGCGGTGCGGGCGGTGTGAGGTGCGGGCGGTGTGAGGTGCGGGCGGTGTGAGGTGCGGGCGGTGTGCGGTGCGGGCGGTGTGCGGTGCGGGCGGTGTGAGGTGCGGGCGGTGTGCGGTGCGGGCGGTGTGAGGTGCGGGCGGTGTGAGGTGCGGGCGGTGTGCGGTGCGGGCGGTGTGCGGTGCGGGCGGTGTGAGGTGCGGGCGGTGTGCGGTGCGGGCGGTGTGCGGTGCGGGCGGTGTGAGGTGCGGGCGTCACATAACTTTGTTGTGTGTGATTTGGTCAACATTTTTCAGCCACGTTATTGTGACTCTTCATCTGCAAGATCACAAAATACATAGAATCCCAGCATCTCCATAACCCCGGACAACATGGTTTCAGAACAGGGCGCTCTTGCCTGTCACAGTTGCTGGACCACTATGACATGGCATTAGATGCCATGGAAAACAAGCAAAACGTTGATGTAATGTACGCAGATTTCGTAAAAGTCGTCTACAAATGTGACCATGGTGTTATTGCACATAAAATGCGTTCAAAAGGAATTACCGGAAAAATAGGCAGATGGATCTACAATTTCCTGACTAACAGAACCCAATGTGTAATAGTCAACAAAATAAAATCCGGTCCATCAACCGTAAAGAGCTCAATCCCCCAGGGTACTGTGCTTGCTCCTGTACTTTTTCTCATCCTCATATCGGACATTGACAAAGACACAAACTATAGCACTGTATCATCCTTTGCAGATGACACTAGGATCTTCATGAGAGTAGACAACATAGAGGTTCACTGACTCACGCCTTAAGCCCCTGCATGACAGAGTTCTATTCCTAGCTGAGCAGTATAAAACACATAAAACAGCTGACACCCTCAACATATTTCTTAAGGCCAGCCGAGAGTTTAGAGAGCTAAAGGAACAGGTGTATAACAGCACTGGGAACAGTTTCTGCAAGGCATCAATCATGCAACATCCTCATCCTAAATGTGGAATAAAATTGAAAAGATTTCTCGTGCTAGCAGTCGTCAACTTGATCACCATTCACCTGTAGACTATGCCGACATGCTGCTTCAGCAATATGCAAGCACTGCTAGTATAAGCAGCCTGCCCCTAGATGTGCAAAACTATCTGGCTAGTACTAAAATAAATCGTAACTTTAATATTGAAATTGCCTGTAGTGAAATAGGGCCTGATGATAACTATGGCATAACCCCCTTTGAAATTAAAAATGCACTCAAGAAAGGTAAGGCTACCTCTCCTGGAGAGGATGGCATCACATACAACACCATGAGAGTACTTGCTGAGCTGCCAAATAGCCCTTTGCTAGAATTGTTTAATCAAAGTCTAAGGCAGAGTGTCTTACCTGACCGCTGGACACAGGGACTCATAATACCCATACCCAAGCCTAATTCACAAAAATTTAGACCCATTTCTCTGACGTCGTGCATGTGTAAAGTTCTTGAGAGAATTATTCTCGACAGACTAATGTTTCAAATCAAGCCCCACCTTGCCCCTAACCTGTATGGTTTCCTTCCTGGAAGAAGCACACAAACTTGCTTTGCTGAGCATTTTATCAGAGAGGGACCAAACTCTCAGGCGGCATTTATTGATCTCCAAACTGCTTTTGATACAGCAAACAGAGAAATAATCCTAGAACAGCTAGCCTCTTTTGGAGTTAAGGGAAGACTGTTGACATGGCTCAGGGGGTACCTGAGTAACAGAACCGCCTCAGTCCTTTTCAAGGGGGTCAAAAGTAAACTCTGTGTTCCCTTTGAGTTGGGTACACCCCAGGGTGGAGTGCTAAGTCCTACACTGTTCAATGTTCTGAAGCATAAATTAACAATTGATATTCCCACACTACCTGACGAAGCCGTCATTTGTTATGCCGATGATATATGTATTGTTGCAAATTCCCAAACTAGACTGCAAGCTCTACTTGATTCATTCGCTGCTAAAAGCATTGAATGTGGTCTTGTTATCTCTATAACTAAATCCAGAGTTCTCCATCCCCAAGAGAAAACTCATGTCCCCATAGCTTTCAAGGTCAACAACCAGAACATTGAAACGTGTGGGCAGCACAAATACCTTGGAGTTGGTATTAATAGTGACATTGTAAATGATCTACACCGTAGGCTAAAAGAAAGACTAAAACCATTGAGAACACTTACTGGTAAGAATATTGGTATCAATATTAAATATGCTAGACTATTCTATATGATGTTCGTTAGATCTCTCGTTGATTATAATGCTCTGCACTTAATTAATTTCACCTCCTCTGTGTTGGACAAACTTGAAGTAGTACAGAATGAGGCCATGAGGATAATTCTTGGTGCTCCAAGATGCACAAGAATCATCAACATGAGGGAAGAACTGAAGCTTCCAACCATACTAGAGAGAATAATGCAAGTCAACATGACCTTTTGCCTTAAAGTCATGAGAGACCCTACATCTCCTGCATTGCTCAGAGACAAATTATTTAGTGCTGTTAACACCCTTTTGACTGGTGCCGACATACCAACTCACTCCTTTTATGATAATTGGCTGAGCAACAATGCTTACAATCTCATTAAACTTAACATTCCTTTTAAGTGCAATCTACCTGTCTCTGATATTCCTCTTTACCTGTACGCCACCATTCAAGTATCATACACACCTGTCACCAAGAAAGATAATGAGAATCTTGCTCTTCTCAAAGCTGTCACTCTTGAAACAATTGCCTCCTCCATCGAGAGTCTAAGATCTCACGAGCACTGTGTCTACACCGACGGCTCAGTCCAATCCTCTACTGGACGGACTGCAGCGGCATGTAGGTTTTATAGAAATAATATTTGCACAAAGACTGTCAGTGTCAGGTTAAACAACTGGCTGACCTCCACACAAGCAGAACTAGCAGCATTTCACTTAGCAACCAGTACATTAAAAAACATTGGAGGAATAATATTCTGTGATTCAAAGTCTGCTCTTCAAGCAATCGAAAACTTCTCTTGGAAGATCGACAGCAAGAACCTCATACTCCCAATTATAAATGACCTAATTGATGCACAGAGTAAACGGTCTCGAATCTCCTTTGTATGGATACCTTCACACATAAATATAACCCATCATAATGAGACAGACATTGCAGCCAAATTAGCGTGTAACAAGTTTGAAGTTGAATTAGATCTAGGTATCCCCATCTCTACTGTCAAAACTGTATTGGTCCAAACATTCAGATCTGATAGGAAAGAACTTACTGACTCCCAGCGACCTGAAAGTACTAGTATAAAAAGCTATGATTTGTTCAGATCTGAAACCTACATCTATGGACAGCACAAAACGTCCACTAGACTGTGCGACAGTGGTTGCAAGGATCAGGTTGGGTTACCGTTACCTGTGGCAGGTGGCTGCAGGTGACGGGTCTCCCAATCCTGAGCACTCCAGTTGCAAACTCTGTGAGCAGGAACTAAGGCATGATCTCCCGCACTACATCACTGAATGCCCAGTTATTAGACCTTTCAGACCAGTTGGCATGAGGTACCTGGAGCTTTGCAATTACTTTATTCACTCTCGTATTCTTGAAGATATCCTCACAGTATACCCAAAATTTGCCAGTGCAGGCTATTAAACACATGGCTCTGTATGACTAACCATCCTGCGAGATGGGGACTTGTATTACCACTGCTGCCTTATTCAATCTTGTGTTGATGATTTCCTCAAAATGCATCCGGAGTCTGCCAGTGCAGACCGCTTATCACATGCCTCTGTATGACTAACCATCCTGTGTGATGGGGATTTTTTAGCATCACATAGTTAGCTTTTTTGACACACTGTACTCCACTTCATATAGTCTAGGGTAGCTGCACTAATGCAGATGTACCTAATGTGTTAACACAATACACAAACACAATAACGTAGCCGTCACAACTGCAAGAAAAAATGACACACTAGAGATGCTATACCAATAATGATACTTTTCAAGACGCTTGTGCTCTCTAGAGTGGAGTACTGTTGCACAATGACAGCCCCTTTCAAAGCTGGAGAAATTGCTGACCTGGAGAGCGTGCAGAGATCCTTTACTGCTAGAATTCACCCAGTAAACTTGTAAACTATTGGGACCGACTAAAGAGTCTAAATCTGTATTCTCTTGAGCGCAGGCGGGAGAGATACATAATAATTTACACACTAAACCTGCACACAGAAATAACATCACATGAGACCAGAAGGCATGACAAGATGTGCAGAATACCCCCATTGAAAAGCGGAGTGCAACAGGTACTGAGAGAGAACTCTATCAACATCAGAGGCCCGAGACTGTTCAACACGCTTCATATAAGTCTAGGGATAAAGCAAAGGATACCTAATCAACCAGGCACATACGTCAGGCTGCAGCCGCGTCCAACAGCCTGGTTGACCAGTCCAGCAACGAGGCCTGGTCGACGACCGGGCCACGGGAAAGTTGAAGCCCTAAATCATCGCAATGTGACCGCAAGGTATGTATAAGTGATTGTACACTATGTACTATAATTTCGCTTAGTGTTCACTTGGAGCGAAGCGTGTACATACGTACAGTAAGTAGTGTACGCATCGTCATTGAAGACCTTGGCTTGGACAGGTCCTTGTCTACATGCACAAGCACTGAGAATCCTTGAAACCAAGGACGTTCACTGTTTCTTGCTCGACACCTTCTCGTAAAACCTCGCAAAATCTGTCTGAACAAAAAAAAACAAAAATACATTGTTGTTCATGAAGGAGAGTTCTTGTATACTTCGTAAAAAACAGAAAACTTGACGGAAAAAATACTGTAACTTCGCTTTGTGGTAAAAGTGGAGAGTTTTTATGGAACTGCTCACATAACATGATCATAAGTTTTTATGCCTAGAGCCTCTAGGCCAGAGGGTCTTGGTCTTGAGCACACGTGAGAGATGGTGGGGACGGGCAGGTAGTGACTATCCTTATGTGTAGGGAAGGTGTAGATGGACGGAGGTAGGATGGAGTACAGGTGGCTTAGGGCTAGTTGGGACACTCCACGTGCAGGAGGTACGGTAGGCAGCACGTCCTTGTGACCCAGGTGACACAACACACTTAAGGACGACACCAAGTAACACCCTGGCAAGACCCATCCGGCTTCTCCAAGGAACATTTTTAAGTCTTGCGGTAAAACTGGAAATAATAAGGACTTGTAGTTTTGAGGTTGTGGGAGTTGGGAGCGTTGGAACCCCACGGAAGCTGGGCGAGGAAACATTCTTGGACCTGTGGAGGTTGAGTGCAAGGTGACCTCTTGGGCCTGTAGAGGTTGAGTGCAAGGTGACCTCTTGGGCCTGTGGAGGTTGAGTGCAAGGTGACCTCTTGGGCCTGTAGAGGTTGAGTGCAAGGTGACCTCTTGGGCCTGTGACCTCTTGGGCCTGTGGAGGTTGAGTGCAAGGTGGCCTCTTGGGCCTGTGGAGGTTGAGTGCAAGGTGACCTCTTGGGCCTGTAGAGGTTGAGTGCAAGGTGAGGTTGAGTGCAAGGTGACCTCTTGGGCCTGTACCTCTTGGGCCTGTGAAGGTTGAGTGCAAGGTGACCTCTTGGGCCTGTAGAGGTTGAGTGCAAGGTGACCTCTTGGGCCTGTGAAGGTTGAAAGACTCACCGCTTCTACCCGGAATTTCAACAGCAGTAAACAGGATGATGAAGAAGCCGGCCAGCAGCGTGCCCGCGGGGTACAGTGACCAGGATATACATGAGCGTGAACCAAACCCACACAAGCCTATAACACTGGAGACAAACAGTGAATGTCCATAGTCTCCTAACTGTTCAGTATATTAATACTGGTTGCTACAAGGGTCGGTGACACATGCAGTACATAGGAATAAGTTTGGGTGGAAATAAATAGGAGTTGCCACTTATGGCCCAAAAGGCTTTCTGCAGTGTCTATTATTTGTATGCTCTTAATGTGGAAGCTTATATGATGAAGGAATTACCTGTGACCTGCTGTAGCAAGGTCAAGTTTATTATGATAAGACACTACATGTCAAGGGGATAGAGCAGCAGAGGTTCTCTACACACCTCTATGACACGTCCTACAACGCCATACAGTAAATATGTTACACGTACATTAAATTACTTCATTAATGACTCGGCTGTCATGAGCGACAATGTGAGGTGTCCACTCACCTGGGGCCATGTTCACCTTCCAAGAATTATTTACATATATGATTTGTATTGTGTTTCTTATGTCACTATATTTTGTTTTTTTCCAGGTGAAAACACTGCGGTATTGTGTTGGTATTTACAGATTGGGCGGGCAGGTGGTTATAAGTTTATGGGTAAGACAGGATGTGCTGTTGTCTGTGCTACATTGTGGCTTGTTTGAGACTGTAGCTGTTGCAGCTTTTGTGAAACTCTGCAGCAATAGTTTCCGCCGCTGTAACCTGTGTCATGATGCAACAACCTATTTCCAAACTAGTATTTCAGGAGGTTAACTTACCCAATTTGTATTCCTTGTACCGTGTTTTGTGTTAATTAATACCTTATTAATATCCTCTTTCATCCCTCTGTCTTCTTCAATCATCTTAACCTTCACAAAACTTATATTAAACAATTATAATCTCTCTTCAAATTGAAGGTTTCAGATTCCTGGGATTAAGTTTGTCATGTTTATCTGTAAGTGTTCATGTGAACTATGTCCAGCGGTCGAGACTAAACAACAGTATGGAATTAATAGGCTGTTTTGGATTGAGTTGTTTATTTAGCGGAACATTTATAGCCATCATGTGTCAAGTGGCGTGGCCTTGTCAAGGAACCCAGGGGATATCCTGCTATCATTTCTGTCACGGTATGTACATGTTGGGGACTACTAGTGCAGCTAGGTGATGCAACTAATGAAGCAACGTGAAGCAAGGTGATGCAGCCAGCGAAGCAACATGAAGCAAGGTGATGCAGCTGGTGAAACAAGGTGAAGCAAGGTGCAGAACCTGTCAAGGGAGAGAGAGACAAGAGTGGCCAAGGACGTATAAAAGCCAGGAGGGAGCGGGCCAAATATTGACACTTGGTCAGTACCAACGCCTCGGCCGGCGAGACAAGCCAAGGTCAACCTCTGCACAGTTACTGATCAAGGTGCACCTTGGTCACTTTTTCTTCTCCAGTAATGTCTGTACCTGTGTGTTGCCCGCACCCGTTAAACTGGTGTCAGCACCCGTGTCATATATGCACCTGTTATACACCTGTCAGCACCTGTGATGCACACACCTGTGGCGCTCATGTCAGCATGGACACCATATGCTCATGATGATATGATGATAATAATAATAATAATAATAATAATAATAATAATAATAATACACTTACATAGTACAGTACTATTAATTTATAATAATAATGTTTACAAATACATCCGATAAACCAGGATACAGTAATACGTCACTTTACATGATACAGCGAGTCTTAGCTTGAGGGGTCAATATGTGTATTACACATGTATCCAGGTAGCACCGTTTTCAAAGTTAGTCTCGATAGTCTGGTGTTTCACCTCGCGTGGAGGGTTGCGAGGTAAAACGCCTCTTGCTATGTTTATCCTCAAAGAATAAATCCACAAGAGCCGTGATGAGGGTTCGAACTTACGTCCAGGATGATCCCAGACGCGCCTTAATCGACTGCGCAACGACATGGATAAGAATTGCAACCAGGATTGCCACTGCTCTCACAAGGATCCCGCAGTCTCTCCGAGAAACAAACCGAGGTTTGTACAATGCCCCCCATGCACTCCGGCTCTGTCAAGAAGCTGTTCTACCGCCAGCAAGAGGTAGAACAGCTTGTTGCCAGAGCCCGAGTGCATGGGCGAAATTGTGTAAAACCGCAGTTTGTGTCTGGGAGAGGCTGCGGGATCCGTGTGAGAGCTGTTACCTTCATCACGGCCCTTGTAGATTTATTTCATTTGATATATCACGCTATTGTGATTTGTGTGTGTACTATATCCTCTATGTTCTCCTCTTATCCAGTAGTAAGAGGCGCCACCGCGCTCTTGGCCTCACATTATTCCTCTAAGAGCACTACATAACAATAAATTGTGTAGTCTCTAAGATGTTAGTTGTGGCAGAAGCTTACAGTTGGCTCCAGCAATGCTGCCAAAATGTGCTCCACTCACATAAATCAGCGTAGGATCAGTCTTAAATTAACATAGGATTACGTTCACCCAACATCGGATCAACGTAGGTTGAGCGTTACGGTGAGAGCATCGGGAATGGCCCGGGTGTGGTGGTCATAAGTTACAAATAAAACGAGAGGTCATATGCTGGTTTATTCGTAAAGATGGATGTTAAGGAGCGAGATGTGTACAAAGGATCACAATGTCTGGCTCAACACGTCTGTGTACAAAAATAATCACCTGCAAATACAAAGCCAAAGACGGCGCCTGCGCGGCCCATAGCGCGTGCACAAACCAACACATGATTGCTACCACTCATATAATGAACTGTGCAGAATTACTTAACAATGTTTGACAAGCATTTGTCGAAATTTGTCATGGTTTATGTATGTGGCAGTCGTTGTTAACTCGAATGTGGGGGTGTTCGTTGGTCACAACTTAATACACTGCTTTACAACACAATAAATTGCCTTACAACACAACTTAACAGTTTGCCTTACAACAAAAGTTAACAGTAATGAATCAAGCGGCGAGACCCCACTCACCGGTGGTGCCACACAGAAGCAAACATGAATGAACTACAAAAGTGTAACAATAAGCAAGGTCAAATTAGTAAAGGTACTTTCTGGTGGGTAGGTGGTAGAGGCGTCTCACTAGCGCGGGTCCTCCTCCTCCTGCTGCTGCTGCTGCTGCTAATATCAAACAACAGTAAGTATTTAAGGTGCTAAATGATGTCACTTTTTGGACCGCCAAGTGAATGTATCACTGACGGACACCACGTAAGAGTCAAAACTATAATTTTAATACAAAATGAAATCATTCCGTGACTACGTCACAAACACATTTCCTGTACTCAAGAATGTATTAATACAAGTTTCCTAAGTAACATCTATGAAAACTCGATACAGTATAGTGTAAGAGGCGGAGGTGAAGATTACGGCCTCAGGTGAAGGAGGCGAGTGCTTCACTACCTGTACTGCAGCTCACACATTAACCTCATATAACAATGACAAGTAAACTAACAAAGGTATAAAATAAAACAATACAAATGTACATATTAATAATGAGAGTACTGGAGAGTAGCAACTATCTGAATATTGGTCAACAATGCCTTTCAGTGTTGGCCGACTCTATAAAGTACAAACATTCCATTGGATCCCGTAGCACCAGACATCACCAATTGTACACATCACAATTTCATGAATTGTGTCCACTAGAATCCAGTTATATAAAAAATAATAGAAGGACAGTCAAGTTATGATCCATAACGTATAACGTGCAGGTGGAAATGACCAGCTCAATGCCAAATATTTCATCATATTCTTAAATTGCACATTGTTTCCTAAAGTGGGAAGGTATTATATATATATATATATATATATATATATATATATATATATATATATATATATATATATATATATATATATATATGATATATATATATAATTATATATATATATATATATATATGAATATATATATAATTAAAAAAAGGTTCTTAGTCCTCAAAGGGGCAAATTGTTTCAGAAGGAAGGAAAAGACAAAGGAAGACAGGAGAAGAGAACTAAGAGGTAGTGAAGAAGGGGCCCAAACAGAGCAGACATCCAGCGTGTGTGTAGAGTGCAACGGTCCAGTGTGAGGCCGCACAAGCCCACGCTCACTACACGCTAAAATATAAACCTTTACATCCCAGACTTCAAAAATATAATTATGGATCGCCAATTGAATGAGAAACTATATCATAGTAAATAAATCCTTTGCGAAACAAATATATAAGAACTATGCTTAGAGAGAAAACCAAAAAGCAAAACAGGAATGCAGTAAAATTGAGAGGCGGCGAGAGTAGAGCACCAGAGGTGAGAGTAGAGCACCAGAGGTGAGAGTAGAGCACCAGAGGTGAGAGTAGAGTACCAGAGGTGAGAGTAGAGCATCAGTGGTGGTGAGAGTAGAGCACAAGAGGTGAGAGTAGAGCCAGGGTTGTTGTGTAGAGCACTAGAGGTGAGAGTAGAGCCAGAATTGCTCTATAGAGTAGAACACCTGTCAGGTGTGAGTAGACAGTGTTGCTCTATATATTAAAGCACATTCACCATACATTGACTGTCATCATTGCAGCTGTCACTCCTAGAGTTCATTAAATTGTCTCAAATTCTAGCACATTTTCGGGACTAAGCTCATCACCTGAGGCGACTCATCACCTGAGGCGACTCATCACCTGAGGCGACTCATCACCTGAGGCGACTCATCACCTGAGGCGACTCGTCACCTGAGGCGACTCGTCACCTGAGGCGACTCGTCACCTGAGGCGACTCGTCACCTGAGGCGACTCATCACCTGAGGCGACTCATCACCTGAGGCGACTCATCACCTGAGGCGACTCATCACCTGAGTCGACTCATCACCTGAGGCGACTCATCACCTGAGGCGACTCATCACCTGAGGCGACTCATCACCTGAGGCGACTCATCACCTGAGGCGACTCATCACCTGAGGCGACTCATCACCTGAGGCGACTCATCACCTGAGGCGACTCATCACCTGAGTCGACTCATCACCTGAGGCGACTCATCACCTGAGGCGACTCATCACCTGCTGCCGCCATGCCAATTACATCACTAATGTTGGTCCTTTCAATGTTCTAAATGTACACAGTATTTTCCACTTATCTGGAGAGTAGCATAACACACTGGCAGTAAATATAAGCAGCGAGATTAACAGCTTAATAACACTTGTCTTCCCACCTCAAAATAAATTATACAATACAAAACAACACAAATATTGTACCACATGAAAGTAATCAAGTTTGTTCAAAATTTATAAAGGGGGTTTTGTCCCAGCTCCGTAAAAAGAGTACTTGTCCGTTTATACAGAAATGTTTATACAATATGAGCTGTACAAAGCTTGGCACTTATCTTACAACACACAGATTAGGCAAGTACTGTACAGTCTAATGTGTCTAGCCAGTAACTCAGTTCTATTCCTCAATAATATAAAGAGTAGAAGCCTGTTTGGCGTTGTGCAGGATATTCCAAACATATACAGTATTGTGATTTCCTTTCTCGAACCATTATGTATAACACAGTGTCACTCATAATGAGAAATAATTATAGTTTCACACAACAAATCAGTTACAAATTGCTTGGCAAAATACACTCTCCTGACTCTCCCTATTTCGTAGTCTTTAGATGTCTTGTTGCTACCTTCAGTAGCAACAAGACATCTTAAGGCAGAAAAAAAATACTGAAATAATTGGTGTAATTTCAAGAAACCAGAGTAATGGTGATATGAACACTGAGTTAGGTTACCTAGTATTAACAAACATATTACCTACACAACACATCCCTCTAGATTTGCTGTACTGTAATATTTTTGCCATTCACTTGTTTCCTGTTTTCTTAAATAACTCTTGATTTGTGTTTTACATTTTTAACTTCTGAAGATAAATCTATTATTACGTACAGTAATTATTTGCCAAATGTAAAGTTTGTAAGCAAAATAATAGTAAGTGAGGGCGGGCGGTGAGGGATTGTGCTGAGGAGAGTGGAGGACGCTGCAGGATAAACAGTATGGATAAGGATAAGTAAGGATAATGGTAAGCAAACATTAGGTATGAACAATTCAATGTAGTTAATTAAACACCCTTGAAGACTGACAGAAATTACACAGGTGCCACAAGAACGAGGTCATAGGCACTAATACAACAAGAGGAATCCTTCAAAAGGTACAATGGCATTTCTGTAGAAACCCAACCTGCTGTGCCACAGCGTCCTTTAGGGATGGGGCAAGGTGATGCTGGTGTGATCAAAGCGGACGAGTGTCTCAATGACTGAGAGAGAGAGAGAGAGAGAGAGAGAGAGAGTGAGAGAGAGAGAGAGAGAGAGAGAGAGAGAGAGAGAGAGAGAGAGAGAGAGAGAGAGAGAGAGAGAGAGAGAGAGAGAGAGAGAGAGAGAGAGAGAGAGAGAGAGAGAGAGAGAGAGAGAGAGAGAGAGAGAGAGAGAGAGGAGAGAGAGAGAGAGAGAGAGAGAGAGAGAGAGAGAGAGAGAGAGAGAGAGAGAGAGAGAGAGAGAGAGAGAGAGAGAGAGAGAGAGAGAGAGAGAGAGAGAGAGAGAGAGAGAGAGAGAGAGAGAGGAAATGTACAAGGAAGCAATGGATAAAGAAGAGAAGCAAGTGTAGGGATGCCGGCCTGAAGGAGTGAACAGCCTCCCTCCCTCCCTCCCTCCCGACCACTGGGCATGTACACCAAGTCATCCCGCACACTCTCTTCCCATTAAATAGTTTCCATAAATATAAACTGTAAACTGTCTGAAGCTTTATCATGTTTGAAGCAGTTTAGAAAATTAAGTTATACTATAATGAGCCTTTAACTTCTCAGCAAGCTTTACTTGCTAATCAATCTTTACGTCATAGTTGTTAAGAGTGCCATCAAGGTGCCATCATCCTTGTAATGTTTAGATTCATTTCTTCAACCAACCTCAGATACTAAGCATTCGTCAAGACAAAACATAAAACTGAATTTATATACTAAATTTAAACAATTAATTGTACCTGTATATGAATAATACATTGTAAGCAACAATTAGAAATAATTACAAAGTTTTACATAAAAAATCAATTACAAATACAGATACAGTATAACATTAGTATTATCCAAGGTAAATTGAGTAGTAGTGTGTGCAGGTTGAGAGATACACTGTCAATGACCTGGCTTGTATCAGTGACACTGTCAATGACCTGGCTTGTATCAGTGACACTGTCAATGACCTGGCTTGTATCAGTGACACTGTCAATGACCTGGCTTGTATCAGTGACACTGTCAATGACCTGGCTTGTATCAGTGACACTGTCAATGACCTGGCTTGTATCAGTGTGGGTGGACAAGACTGTGACTTCCCTCATTAGGGCTGTTTTAAGGATAAACTACTCGTTACCGCCTTGTCAATTTCAAACACTCAATTTGTAGTTTTCTTGTGCACTATAAACAATAATTTATATATATATATATATATATATATATATATATATATATATATATATATATATATATATATATATATATATATATATATATATATATGCCAGAGGATAGTAATTACATTATTAATATTGCAGAGGTTGGAGGTTTTCATCTAAATACTCAAGTTAGAGAGGCAAAGATTATACAAAATAAGGATTGCAACTTGTTGCTCTCAACAAACTGGTAGAGTGTGAGAGGTGAGTGGTGAGAGGTGAGTGGTGAGAGGTGAGTGGTGAGAGGTGAGTGGTGAGAGGTGAGTGGTGAGAGGTGCTGTGTGCTGGTGACTGACGGAAGACATCTTGCCAAGAATGTGAGGCTCGCGGAATGTCACATTATTCCATCTCAAACTTCAAGCATTCCTCGTAACAAAAACTATTAAACATACAAATTAAATTAAAAAACAGATAACTAATGTATTCCAATAATAAAATAACCGACAAAAATAAAATACACGTTTGCTGGTCTCTTAACAGTGATATCAACGATAGTTTCAGGTTAATGTCTTGAATTGTTAACGAAACTTTGTTTTATCCCCATTAACTTAAATTTATTCAAAACTAAGAGGTTTTTCTTCTTAATTTATGTATCCTTCAAGAGGCCATGTGTCTTGTGTGAGTGTGAAGACCTTGGGAGGTGGACACCAGCTCCTCCCTGAGGCAGGCACTCTCACCAGCCTGGCCACGTCTTCATCCTTTGTGCGGCATTAACTTGTACGAACATTATCAACTGGTAATCACTCACCCTTAAATACTTGCATAATAAAGGCGATAAATCTCAGCCACATTCCAAACTGAGTTTAGTCAGAGGACCACTAATTAAGAGAAGAATCTTACGGGTAGTTAGTGAGAAATGTTGATTATTAAGGTTCATTTTGAGAGGAAAGTGAGTGAGGTGAGGGTGAAGCTGCCCCCCCCCGGCTCAACACAGTGTGGTCACGTGACGTGGGGGGCTCACCCTGCCCTATACTACACGCGCCTCCCCTACTACACTCTCTCCCTACACTACAACTCGCCTCTCTTCTATCCCCTCCCACCCACACACACACCCACATATATATATATATATATATATATATATATATATATATATATATATATATATATATGTTGTTATTTTCCTAAAATCTGGCTAGTTTATAATCTACATTTTAGCAGTGATCTGCAAAGTGATCAAAGTAGGTATTTAGACTCGACAATATGTGGAGTCCGGCTACGTAGATCAGGCTTCTTGCTCACCACTACACTCCTCTACTGAGGACTGAGTCATGCCACTAACATGGGGGCGACACCATGACACCTGACACAAGGCCAGTCATGGCACGACCCAGGGACATCACACTGTGACACCATGACACAGTGTGATGAGTGGCAGACTCGCTGGCTGAGGATGTTATTGCTGGTGGCATCATAACACACACGTTGAGTTGAGGGCCAGTTTAGGGGCATGTTTAGTAGTGTGGCTGCCTCTGGTATATGGCGTCTGCACCACCCTCCCGCAACACTCTACTCTACTACTAATCACAATCTGGCGATAGCGCATGCTGCTCCTGCTGCTGTCTGCTGCTCCTGCTGCTGCTGTCTGCTGTAGCTGCTGCTGCTGCTGCTGCTAATAACAATACTCTGAAGGCCACATTTAAGATGAGTCTGGGCTGCAGAGTGGAGAGTGGCTACAGAAGTAGGCAGCAGTGGTGCCGCCGCCAGTGTAGAAGCACGACCAACACGTAAGGACGACGATGTTAAGGTGGAGATGGGTGCTAGAGAGCAGCGTGCCTCATATCCTGTTGAGGAGCGGCAGGTAGGTGAGGAGTCTCACCAGGAGCCTGAAGAGGCCGTACCAGGCTCTTCTGGCAGCACTACTCTTGAGCATCACCAGGCGCCAAGCCACAAGCACCACCAGCACACGCCACGCCTGACGCACCCACCACATCCTACAGCGGGGGAGATACACGAGTCTGGTTAGTACACTACACCTCTACACTCACCCACATGCTTCCCTCCACCCTACTACACTTACTACACACTCTGTACCACGGACACTACTTACCTTAACTTACTACACACTGTGTACCACGGACACTACTTACCTTGACTTACTACACACTGTGTACCACGGACACTACTTACCTTAACTTACTACACACCAGGGACACAACTTGGGCCAACTTTGTCTACTATAGTATGCAATATATATATATATATATATATATATATATATATATATATATATATATATATATATATATATATATATATTATATATATATATTATATATATATATATATATATATATATATATATATATATATATATACATACATACACATTCATACAGTATGTGACCTTGCAATAACGCCAGGCGGGAGAATATATGACATATCTTAGCCTGTTTAAATATGTATTAGTAAATCATATAACTATACATAGTGTCTTATACAGTAAGGAGATACATACGTTTCTTTTTCAATGGTTCAGTGTAAAACCTTGCACCACTGTTCATTTACCTCCGTTGTTCAGTGGTGGACTGTTCATCAGGATAAGCGGGTACACAGTCCTCATCCCCAGGATATGTATAAGTTATCCTTGTACCACATTAGGGCACACGAATAGGTTTATGTATATTACTGCACCTCATAATGATAACACGATATGGATATGAAATATTCTCGTACCTGATACAGGTCTGAGTGTATGAGTATGTTTGGCACGTGTGTGGCGTTCACACAAGTTTATTGTGATAATACAACACAGCACATGAGGGCAGAACACTTTACACTATTTCCACACTCGTCTATTATAAGTCCCTCAAGGGTCTCACAAGGTGGAGAGTTGCTGCTCATATTTCTGTGTTGTTGGTGTTTATAAGTCAACTTTAGTGCTCCATGTGTCTTCTTCCCCCCACAACACACACACACACACACACACACACACACACACACACACACACACACACACACACACACACACACACAGATGAGGTCAAGAGACACCTATTGGATCTGGATGTGAGAAAGGCTGTTGGTCTAGACGGGATATCACCATGGGCATTGAAAGAGTGTGCAGAGGCACTCTGTTTGCCATTCTCCATAGTGTATAGTAAGTCACTGGAGACAGGAGACCTATCAGAAATATGGAAGGCGGCTAATGTGGTCCCAATATACAAGAAGGGTGACAGGCAAGAGGCACTGAACTACAGGCCAGTGTCCTTAACTTGTATACCATGCTAAGTGATGGAGAAGATCGTGAGAAAAAATCTAGTAACACATCTAGAGAGAAGGGACTTCGTGACAAATTGCCAACATGGGTTCAGGGAGGGTAAATCTTGCCTTACAGTCTTAACAGAATTCTACGATCAGGTGACAAAGATTAAGCAAGAATGAGAAGGCTGGGCAGACTGCATTTTTTTTGGACTGTCGGAAAGCCTTTGATACAGTCCCCCATAAGAGGCTGGTATATAAGCTGGAGAGGCAGGCAGGAGTAACTGGTAAAGTGCTCCAGTGGATAAGGTAGTACCTAAGCAATAGGAAGCAGAGTTACAGTGAGGGGCGAGACCTCAGATTGGCATGAAGTCACCAGTGGAGTCCCACAGGGCTCTGTACTCGGTCCTATCCTGTTTCTGATACTGTATACGTAAACGATCTCCCAGAGGGTATAGACTCATTCCTCTCAATGTTTGCTGACGACGCCAAAATTATGAGAAGGATTAAGACAGGAGGACTGCTTGAGGCTTCAAGAAGACCTAGACAAACTGAAGGAATGGTTGAACAAATGGTTGTTAGTTTAACCCAAGCAAATGTAATGTAATGAAGATAGGTGTAGGGAGCAGGAGGCCAGATACAAGGTATTGTTTGAGAGACGAAATTCTTAGAGTCAGAGAGAGAAAGACTTGGGGGTTATCATCATGCCAGACCTGTCCCCTGACGCCCATATCAAGAGGATAGCATCAGCGGCATATGCCAGGATGGCCAACATAAGAACAGCATTTAGAAACTTGTGTAAGGAATCATTCAAAACTTTGTATACCACTTATGTCAGACCAATCCTGGAGTATGCAGCCCCAGCATGGAGTCCATATCTAGTCAAGCATAAGACCAAACTGGAAAAGGTTCAAAGGTTTGCCACCAGACTAGTACCCGGGCCGAGAGATATGACTTATGAGGAGACCCTACGAGAATTAAACCTCACGTCGCTGGAAGACTATTTAGGGTTAGGGGGTACATGATCACCACATACAAGATTCTCAGGAATTGACAGGGTAGATAAAGACAGGCTATTTAACACAAGGGGAAACATGCACTAGGGGACACAGGTGGAAACTGAGCGCCCAAATGAGCCACAGAGATATTAGAAAGAATTTTTTTTAGTGTCAGAGTGGCTGACAAATGGAATGCATTAGGAAGTGATTTGGTGGAGGCCGACTCCATACACAGTTTCAAGTGTAGATATGATAGAGCCCAATAGGCTCGGGAACCTGTACACCAGTTGATTGATGGTTGAGAGGCGGGACAAAAAGAGCCAGAGCTCAATCCCCGCAAGCACAAATAGGAGAGTAC